AGAGCAGGAACTTCCCAGAACATTGCTTTGTGTTGCGCCCAACAGAAATACCCCAGGTGGATAACTTTTACAATCAGGAGCTCCTCAGTTGCTCACAGCAAATTCCACCACAGAGTTTACAAAGTCTCGGAGCTCTGGGAGCATAGTGCCTAAGGCACTTGACTGCTAACCAGAAGGCTGGCAGTTCAAACCCAGCAGCCACTCCTCGGAAGGAAGGTTGGGTAATCTACTTCTGTAGAGATACTGCCTCGGAAACCCAAGAAGGGGTCGCTATGAGTTGAGTCTGACTCAACGGCACACAACAACAACATGGTTGGAAAAGCCACACTAAGTAATTTACTACACCGCATAGCTATTACATGAATATAGGACATTTTGTTCATCCATTTATCTGTTGATGGACACTTGGGTGGTTTCTACCTTTTGGCTATTGTGAATAATGTTGCAGTGAACATTGGTGTACGAATACCTGTTTGAGTCCCTGCTTTCAGTGTCTTGGGTGTATACCTAGGAGTGGAATTGCTGGTGTGTGATGATTCTCTGTGTCTAAGTTTGAGGAACCATGAAACTGTTTGCTACAGCAGCTGGATCATTCTACATTCCCACCAGCAATGCATGAGGGTTCCAGTGTTTCCACATTCTCATCAACACTTGTTATTTCCCATTTCCTCTAATAATAGGCACCCGAGTAGATGCAAAATAAGCTCTGGTGGTGAAGTGGTTAAGGCATTTGGCTGTTAACCAAAAGGTTGGTGGTTTGAACCAATTAGCTGCCCTGCAGAATAAAGATGAATTGGTCTGCTACCGTAAAGATTTGCAGCCTTGGAGACCCAGTGGGGGTTGCTGTGAGTTGGAATTGACTCAGTGGCAGTGAGTTTGGTTTGGTTTGGAGTGGAAACTAAGTGGTATCTTTGGTTTATTTTTTTTCCTTTTTTTCCTTTTCCCTCTTGGGGTTTTGATTTGCATTTCCTTTATTAATGATACTGAGTATCTTTTCATGCGCTTGCTGGCCGTTTGTGTATCTGTGAAGAAATACCTATCTTTTGCCCATTTTTGATTGGATTATTCTTGTTGTTGAGTTTTAGGGGGGTTATTTATATATTCTGATGTTAAATCCTTATCAGATATATGACTACCAAATACTTTCTCCCATTCTGGGGGACCTGTTCACTCTGTCAGTGGCTTTGGATGCATAGAAGATTTTATTTCTATTGAAGTCCAGTTGCCTTTTTCTTTTATTGCTCATGCTTTCCGTATCACAGATTGATACATTTTTTGATCGATAACTTTTGCTCGTTAGAGTACACCTGAGAGCCACTCAGCGCCCGTGCTTGGCTTCTAACACCGTTCTTGGAGAAGTGGCTGATTCCAGGGTGGGGCAGTGAGTATACAAGATGAGCCTGGGACATCTTGCAACCCCTCTGCTGTTTTCCTCTTCATACTTGGTTGTGTCAGAGAGAATGACTGCGCAGTGGCGTTCACTGGGTCCAGATGGTGCATTTGCATTTCTGTCTCCCAAGAGATGGCTTGGGAGCTCTGATGGCGCAGTGCCTAAGGAACTTGACTGCTAACCACAAGGCTGGTGGTTCAAACCCACTAGCCACTCCTCAGAAGGGAGGTTGGGCAATCTACTTCCATAGAGATACCGTCTCAGAAACCCAAGGAGGGGTTTCTGTGAGTGGGATCCGACTCGATGGCAGTGAGTGAGAGTGAGACACGGCTGGCCGTGGTTGCGTTTCTTTCCCTCCTCCTGGCTTTGCTCTCCCTTCCGCCCCATGTCCTCACCCTTCACTAAGAGCCCTACCAGTCCTGTCTTCACCAGCCACTGTTCCTCTTGCAGGAGTCTTGATACAAAGACCAGCTAACATTGGTCCCTCAGATCACAGCTGCCAAGTTTGCTCGGGTCGGCTTCCTCCTCTGCTCTCATTTCAGAAACACTCTGACTCCTCGGAGCTCCCTTTCTTACCCTCTGCCTCATCCGTTTTCCAAATGGTTGAAATCCTCAGGGCTTCTTGGCTGACTGTTTCAGAGGCGGAGCCCCGGGGCTTTGTTTCTGGGCCTGGAATCATGCCTCAGGCTTTGGTAGAGTTGCAGTCTGTTGGACAAAGAGGCTGACTGACTGTCCTTCTGTCTGTCTCCTTCCCGGCTTCCCTCTGGATTTGGAGATCCTTTTTATCCACCAGCAAAAGCACCTGGGGGGAATAGCTTGCCTGTCTTCGGGCTAAGAGCCAGTCTTCCTTACTGTTGGGGAGCACGTGATAGGGATTTTGCAGCCGGGAAGTAGACAGGAGCTTTCTTTGTAAGCTTGGCCCTCTGGCTTGCAGGGCCCCTCCCTGTCTGCCCACCCGCCCCAGTGTGGGCCATTCAGGCTGTGCCTCACGTGGGGCCTCGCGGGCCTCCGGACTGCTGAAGTGCCTCACCCCAGCCTCCTGCTGGAGGCTTAGTTGGTATTTGCTTTTGTATTTGTCAGTGTACATGGTCAAATCGAAGGGTCTCTGGCCACTTTCTGGCCTCTTTGTCTCCAGTCATTCTCCCAAATTCACCGTTTTGTTTCGGTTGAACACTTAGCAGCATTGGTGTGCATAAGCACCTTCATCTCGACACAGTGTTGATTAAATTCCTTTTCCTTTTTATCCCTTCATCTTCACGGGCTGTGGTTGTTATTCCTAAGAAGGGCAATCGCTGGGTTTGGTAGGTAGAGCTTGTTTACCAGCCTTTCTGAGCAGGCGGCCCGTGACAGCTAGCACGTGGTCCCTGCCACCTGTCTTGAAGTGCAGACTGTTACCCAGACAGGAGATGTAATAAACAAGCAGACATGACTTGTGACAGAGATGGGTAGCAGTAGTGCTGCCTGGGGCTGGAATGATTAGGAGTTTATGTGGCCGAGGGGGCCATACAGGGAGGGCAGAACAGCAGCAGGAAAGGCAATGTGCAAAGCTCCAGGGGCCTGAGGAAGCCTGATGGGTTGTAAGCTGTAGATATTTGAAGGCTGAGCCCTGGGGTGGGAGGAGGGGGTGAGAAGCTTGGGGGTAGGGGAGCTGTTTACATTTTTGCTGTCTGCAGAAGAAATTGGCTTCAACTCTCTGGAGCCACGTGAGAGAGATGTGGTGTTCCTAGGGGATGTTATGTGGGTCTCTGTCAAGGAGAGCTTCTGAGCCCACAGCTTTCAACCCTGAGCCTTCATGCTGGGGATAAAGTCTGTTCAGAGGCCCAGGTTGGCACTTCTTATCTGGTGTGCCCAAGCACCTTGGACTTTTTATCATCTTTGAGCACTGGTCTGAACCCCCGTCTCTCCCACTTGCCTGCCTTCCCTCGGAGTTGCTCCTCACTTTCCTGGGGTGGAGGCAGGTACAGGCTTTGGGAGGCTGAAAGAGAATGGCAGGGAATGAGCCTTTTCACACTCAGGGCCCTGCCTTGGCACCCCTTTCTCTCTGCCACTGGTTCACGTCTTGGCTTCTGCTTTCTCCCGCATACATAGCCCTCCTGGCTTCCAGCCCACGTAGAGGGAGGAAGCGCTTATTTCCTTCAGCTCTTTTCTGAAAATAACCCAGCTGGCACTGCTTGGGGACATGGAGTCCCTCAGAGTGTTGGCATAGCACAGTGCTGAGGTCTGGTGAGTCCTGGCTGTGAACCTTGTCTCTGTCCCACTTAGCATCTATCCAAGGACCTTTGTGAAGTGCATCTGGGAGGCCTTTGCAGATCTAGCTGCCCAGTGAAGTGATGGGGAGCACGGGGACCCTGGCGCCCTGGGGTTGTCAGTTGCTGTTGAGATGGCTCCCACTCACGGCAGCCTTAAATATGACAGAATGACTGTTGCCCGGTCCAGCACCATCTTCGATTGTTGGCATGGTTCAGTCCATTGTGTGGCTTTTGTGTAGTGCCTTCCAGCCTAGGGGGCGCTTCCAGCAAGATGTTGGACAGTGTTCTGTTGTGATCTGTAGGGTTTTCATCGGCTCATTTTTAGAAGTAGATTGCCAGGCCTTTATTCCTGGTCTCCCCTAGTCTGGAGGCTCTGCTGAAACCTGTCGACCATAGGTGACCTTGCTGGTATTGGCAGTACTGGTGGTATAGCTCCCAGCATCCCAGCAACACGCAGGCCACCACAATGACAGACGGGTAGTGGGCATTCTCAGGGAGTTTGGGATAATTTGTGGGAGCCCCTACAAGGTGGAGGAAGAGTATGTTCTAGGCAAAAGATGGCTGCCTCTAGCTGAGACCCACCTCTGGAACATTTGCCACAACCCCTGCCATCCTGAAGTTGGCACTCAATAAATATTTGTTGTGCAGTGAATTAGTTAAGCTAAAATTCCAGTCTTGGAGGACAGTGGGGGAGTAAGCACTTTGGGGAGTAGCGATCTAGTGTAGTCTCAGGCTCAGAGACCAGGCTGCTGAGGAAAGGGAGGGAGGAAGTTGAGTCTGGCTGGCTTGGAGAGTACTCGTGGCTGTGACAAGTCGGAAAGCCCAGGAGGTGGCTCAGGCCATGGGCAAATGGTGGATGGTGTCACGAAGTCACCAGTCTGTGGAATGGGTGAGGGCTGCCGCTTTGGGCGCTGGATTCCCCCACCCCCACCCTGACTTCCTGTGGGTGGGAGGGACCCTGGGATCCTGGGCGAACAAATCAGACTCCGCCCACTTAAAGGTGGATCTGCTCAGCGGTCGCAGGGTCCCAGCATCTCACTGGACATTACCTTCGGGGTAGGTGGACAGGTTGGAGATTCCTGCACGTTGGCAGGCGTAGTCCCATCATTATTTCCCTCCTGGCATGCCGCCACCTCCGTCCCCCAGTGGTCCCGGAAAGAGCTGTCCTGAAGGTTCCTCCTTAAGGGGCGGACTAGGGCTGGGCTTCCCTCCAATTTCCTGGGGCCGTGCTGCCCCACCACAGTCTTTGTAGCGGCAGCGGTAGAGGGAGGTAGGCAGGAGATCTGTCCAGGACCAAGAGGTCGGGGCCTTCTGGGACGTCACCCGAGTGCAGGCTGCTTCCCTTGTCCCACATTTCACAGGCACCATGAGCCAAGACACTGAGGTGGACATGAAGGAGGTGGAGCTGAACGAGCTGGAGCCCGAGAAGCAGCCCATGAACGCTGCGTCTGGGGCGGCTGTGGCCGTGACCATGGCTGGTGGCCCTGAGAAGAACGGCCTGGTGAAGATCAAAGTGGCTGACGACCAGGCGGAGGCGGCTGCGGCCAAGTTCACGGGCTTGTCTAAGGAGGAGCTGCTGAAGGTGGCGGGCAGTCCCGGCTGGGTGCGCACCCGCTGGGCGCTGCTGGTGCTCTTCTGGCTTGGCTGGCTCGGCATGCTGGCGGGGGCCGTGGTCATCATCGTGCAGGCACCGCGCTGCCGTCAGCTGCCCACGCAGAGATGGTGGCACAAGGGCGCCCTCTACCGCATCGGCGACATTCAGGCCTTCCAGCCCCGCAAAACAGGCGACCTAGCCGGTTAGTACAACCCCCTCTCCTGCAGTCACTGGTTTAAACCCCACCCTCTCGCCTGTGGTTTAACCCCTCCCCCTTTGGTTTTATCCCTAGCCCCCTCTCCCAGCTCTGGTTTTATTGGGGCAGGCAGCACCAGTTACCCACCCCTTTCTCGCTTCACCCCGTCAGTATCCTGGAAGGCTGTTCAGGTCATGTTCCCTCCTCTTTGAGGAAGAAACACTGCGTCCCCTAACCCTCCTTTCTCCATAGTGGCTGACTCAGCGCCCTCCTTTCCCTGGCGGCCCCAGGAGCCGGTCCTAGCCGGTTTCAGAAGCAATGTGCAAGTCTCCTTACATCAGCTTCTCAGAGTCTTGTGCTGTGGCCTGCACAGTGCCCCCCTGAGGCCAGCAGAGAGGCGAGAATCCTGCACCTCTCCAATGGGCTTCACTCTCACTCTGCCTTCCTGTTTCAGGCCTAGAGGGGCATCTGGATTACCTGAGCACCCTGAAGGTGAAGGGCATTGTGCTGGGCCCAGTTCATAAGAACCAGAAGGATGACGTGGCAGGGACTGACTTGAAACAGATAGACCCTGCTCTGGGCTCCAAGGATGATTTTGATCATCTCCTACAGTCGGCCAAGAAAAAGAGTAGGTGTCCTGGGGTTCACCGGGAAGCAGCTAGTAAGCCTGGACTCTGGCCGGAGGCAGGGCAGGGTGACTGAGCTCCCAGGCCTGGGACAGGGCGAGTGGGTTAGGTTGGTAGATGGCTTTCGTGTGGCTGCATGGTGAGCTGATCATTTAATTTTGGAGTTTCAGTGCCTTTATTTGCAAAATGTAGACTTTGATCAGATCAGTGGTTTTTAAACTTATAAGATCCTTTTGGGGGGGAAAAAAAACAAAAAAAAAACAAATGAACTATTGCCTACAGTTTGTTATAGAAGAAGTTCATCTAGGGGTGGGGAGCCCAGGGCCCCAGAGCTCAGCCTTCTCTTATATCTGCCCTATAGGATCTTAAGACCCTTCCTTGCTCACATTTGTTCCATAGGAATGGGATCTTGTCAGGGCTCAGATCCAAGCTTTTGTACTGTGGAATACCTAGGAAACATCCGACAGAATTGTGTGTGTTGATTTCCTCCTTCTGCTTACTCCAAAACCTTTCTCACACTGCCTCTTCCTCCATTGTTCCAGGCATCCGGGTCATTCTGGACCTCACTCCCAACTACCGGGGCCAGAATTCGTGGTTCCTCCCCACTGAGGCTGGCACAGTGGGCACCAAGATGAAGGTGAGTGTGTTGGGAGCCAGATGCTCTCTGTAAGCTTTCTCTGTAAACTTAGTCTGGGTCCTGCTGAGACCCCCTCGCTTCCTGAAGCTAAGCAGGAGAGCAAGGCCAACATGCACCCCTGTTTCTTCTTGTTCCTTTTATGGTCACTCAGTTTTCTGTTTCCCTGACTCCGAGGGTGCTAGGGCCAGGAAGGGACTGTCTCAGATGTCAGTATGGACGTTTGACTTCCCTTTGGGGAAAGGAAACCCTTTATAGGGAATTCCACCCTGACTCATTTCCCAGTTCTTGTTTGATGTGCTTTGGAATGGAGCTCAGTGTGAAATTGTAAATACTGGGGCTTCCTGTGTTTCTGGAACTGGGCCAAGTGTTTCATAGATATTTTTTAATCCTCTATGTAGCCATAGACAGAGTCTGTCATTATCCTTAATTTGTAAATGAGGAAGCTAAGGTTCAGAGGGGCCTAGTATGCCCAAGGTCTCTCAGCTAGTTAAGACTTTGAAGTCCTAAGTGGTCCACTTCTCCAGTCTCCCTCACCTTAGGAAGTAGGCTCAAACTCTCTCCAGCAGGCGGGGGGCAGTGAGGCTTTGGATGGCTCCCCGGATCCTGACGCCTGGGTTCTAGGACATTGACCAGTTCAGAATGGGTGGAACAGAAGTGGAGGCAGACACTGACACTTTCCTGGCTGCTGTGATTCTGACCTTGGGTTTCCACGATTTGGGTAGGGCCCTTGGTTTTCTCCAGTCTAGCCCTAGCCAGTGGTTGGAAGACCCTTGATGAGTAATGATAAGGGAGTATTTTCAGATGGTGCGTGTGGGGTGCTAGCCTCAGGTGAAGATGGAGACAAGAGGAGAGAGCAGTGGGGTGTGAAAGAAAGGGAAGAAAAAGTGGAGGTGGAGGCGGGCTTCCGTGGGGTGTGCCAGTCGGATTCCAGGGTTCGGCCTGGGCCTGTTTGCAGAGCTGCCTTCCTCTTTTCAAGTCTTCATCTGCCCTGCCCTGGGGCTGTGCTTCTAATTTCATTCTTTCATCCTTGGTCTTGTTGTCTCTTGCTCTTTAAGTCACACCCACCCTGGTCTGGAGGAAGGGCTGTTGTCTTGCCATCTTGGGACGTGTTTTGTCTTAGTTCTGGAGGTTCAAAGTCCAGGTCAGGGTCTGCTCCTTCCATGAGCCTCTCTCCCAGTTCTGGTGTCTGCCAGTGATCCCTGGTGTTCCTTTGCTTGTCGACCATCCTGTCACGTCTTTTCCGTGTGTGTGTCTCTCCTGATCTAATTATTACTCAGAAGTGATTGGGCTTAGGACCTGCCTGACACTGGTATGACCTCAACTGATAGATTGCATTAGATGAGCTGGCATGTGAAAGGAAATCTGCCCTGCTCACCGCCAACTGATTTACCCAAGTGTAACTACTCCATGATGGCAGCTAGGCTAGTGTTTGGGCAAACAACTGGGAGCTGTCTCCCAGCTAAGTTGGCATGTAAAATTAACCATCACATGTCTTGCCCATGCTGCTAACTGGGGACGTTTCCTCTCTTCTCTGAACCTGTTTCCTCATTGCTAAAATGGGTGAACTACCATTCCACAAGACCCTCAGCGAGGTGGATAGACACTGGCTATGACGTGGGCTCAGGCATAGCGGTGGTTGTAAGCATGGCTCAGGACTGGGCAGTGTTTCATTCTGTTGTTGCTGTGAGTCGGAACCAACTCAGTGGCACTTAGCTGTTCCACACGAGCTGTTCCATGTGCTAAACGTTACGTGAGTTGTGCATATGAAAGCACTGTTTCTCTTGGGCTTTCTCTGTAGCTGTCAAAGATGTGATTTGCCACAGGGAGGAAGACAGAAGTACAATGCTTTAGCACTAAGAGAATCCATGGGAGATTAGACTTGGAGGGAACCAAAGGCTAATAAGCCTTTGAAATAGAAGTGGGGGAAATGAGACCCAGCCTGGTAGGCGACTGTCCTCAGGTTGTGGGGGAGTCCACGATGGCGGGGGTTTAGTGTGGGCTGGAATTTTGTATGCCTTTACATCAGGGCATTGATATCTTTCTTCTCCTCTTTGACCCCTTCTAGGATGCTCTGGAGTTTTGGTTACAGGCTGGTGTGGATGGGTTCCAGGTTCGGGATGTGGAGAATCTGACGGTAAATTTCCTTTCCATGTGGGAGGCAGAGCCTGGATGAGTCTTCTTGCTCCTTGACACTGCTTTTTGTCTTCTAGGATGCGCCCTCATTCTTGGCTGAGTGGCAGAACATTACCCAGAGCTCCAGTGAAGATAGGTTGGTACCGGGCCCCCCATCCCCAGCTCACCTCTGTTGTGGGAACTCCTCAGTGAGCACTAGGCCCTGGAAAGGGGTGCTTCCTAATCCAGAGAATCTTATTCACCAACGTTCTTTCTTTCCTGTCTCACACCAACCTTGACCCCTGCCCTGCCCCGCCCTCCACAGGCTCTTGATTGCAGGCACTGGCTTCTCTGACCTGCAGCAGATCCTGAAGCTGCTTGACTCCACCAAGGACCTGTTGTTGACTAGTTCATACTTGTCAAGCCCTGGCTTTACTAGGGAGCATACAAAACTCCTGGTCACCCAGTATTTGAACGCTACTGGCAATCGCTGGTGCAGCTGGAGTGTGAGTACCATGATGGAGATGGGGACCTCCTGGAGGAAAGGGGTGTTGGCAGATAGAGGCAGAGTAGGCTGTGGGCTCACCAGTATTTCTGTCCCTACAGTTGTCTCAGGCCAGGCTCCTGACTTCCTTTGTGCCAGCCTCTCTTCTCCGACTCTACCAGCTGCTGCTCTTCACCCTGCCAGGGACCCCCATCTTCAGCTATGGAGATGAGATTGGCCTGCAAGCGGCTACCCTTCCTGGACAGGTACTAGTAGAAGAGTTCGTGTTCACCCAGCATGATGATGGATGTGTAGATGTGATAGACGGACATGAGCCCTGAGGTGGAACTGTGTGTGATTCTGGGTCAATTCTGTGTGGTCTTGGGCATTATTTCACCTCTTCAGTCATGGATCTCTTCTGTGATAACCATGTTTTTGGCAGGGAGGTTGGATTAAATGAGAGCATATTTTGGAATGCATTTCCTGGTACCTGCTATGGTAGCTCTCATTCATTCATTCATTCATTCATTCATTAGACAGTGGGTACTCTGCTAGGCTCCATACCCTCCAGAGCTTATAGTGTAGTGAGGGGCCCAGGTGAGTAAGCGGGTGAGAACATGGCAGTGAGTACTGGTAGGGTAATACCACCAGGGGGACTCACTTACCTTTATCCAGGGGGTTGGAGGTTGGTGCCCAAGGTGGTATTTATAGGACCAGTCATTAGTCATTCATCTATGTCACAAGTTATAGGTAATTCCATGTGCCAGCCCTCAGGGATACAGCAATGCCCTGAAGAGCTGCAGGTGGTGGAATTAGATGATGAGCAAGTAGAATAAAGATGCCAGGAACTGGTAAGTGCTTTGTAAAGGAAAGCACGGTCATGACCAAGAGAATAGAGGATGGGGTAGCCTTTATAGAGAGTGGCCACAGAAAACCTGATGAGACAGAGCAGAGACCCGAAGGAAGCAAGGGAGGAGCCCTCCAGGCGGAGGGGACACTGTGTACAAGGACCTTGAGCTGAGAGCCTGCCTCCTTGTCCCATAGACGTTACTCAGGCACAGGTCAGGGAGGTGTGCATTCAGGGGGGAGAGAGCAGGCCTCAGGCCTTGTCCAAGTCCTGTTCTCACTGTTTCCAGCCTGTGGAGGCCCCGGTCATGCTGTGGGATGAATCCAGCCTCCCTGATACCTCTAGCCCGGGTTCTGGGCCAGTAAGTGCCAACATGACGGTGAAGGTAAGGCTTCGGGCAGGGTCTGGACACAGCGGGTTGCTGGTGGCTTGTTGGGGTCTGCACCCATGGAGCCCTCATGCCTCCTGCTCTGTCTTCATCATCCGCAGGGCCAGGATGGAGTCCCTGGTTCCCTCCTCTCCCTGTTCCGGAGGCTGAGTGATGAGCGGGTCAAGGAGCGTTCCCTGCTACATGGGGACTTCCACACACTGCCCTCGGGGCCTGGCCTCTTCTCCTACGTCCGCCACTGGGACCAGAACAAGCGCTTCCTGGTGGTGCTCAACTTTGGGGATCTGAGCGTCCCAGCCAATTTAGGAGCCACTGGCCTGCCTGATAATGTGAGCCTGCCGGCCAAGGCCGAACTCGTGCTTAGCACCCAGCCAGGCCGGGAGGAAGGCGTCTCCCTTGAGCTGCAACACCTGAATCTGGAGCCCAGTGAGGGGCTTCTGTTCCACTTCCCCTATGTGGCCTGACCCCCAGCTTGACCGTGACCCCTTTCTCCTTACCAGGCTCTCTTTTTTTTTTCCCCCTTTTTTATTGTGACAGATGATAGACGACCCCCCCAAAGTAGGATGTTTTCTGGCTTCAAATAAAAGTCACCCCTGCCTGATGAAGTGTTTTCCTGTCCCCTTACCTCTCCTGGACCTGCCCCACAGTGGACTTGCCAGAAATACTCATATTGGAATCTGCTCCAGCTGCTTCACTGATTGATTTGAGGGAACAAGGCCCAGAGTGGAAAGGCCCTGTGCAAAAGGGTGTGGAGTGGCATCCTCTGACCTCCATCCTCACAAGGGGGAGACAGTCACCATCAACAGCCCAGTGCTTACTCCTCTGAGGCCACACGTGCCACTCGCCCCTAGCTTATGTACCAGTTCTGACACCAGCCGTCTGTCCCACGGCACTCTGCTGGGTTCAGTAATTCGTTGCAGTGGCCACACAGAACTCAGACAATACTTACGATCATGGGGTTTATTAGGGAAGTTGGTATGTGCCATCGAGTCAGACCCTACTCGTAGTGACCCCTCCTTGGGTTTCCGAGGCAGTATCACTACGGAGTAGATTGCCCAGCCTTTCTTCCATCAGGACAGTCACCCCTCAGCTGTCTCCTTAGGCATCGCTCTCTGGCCCTTGGCCTTTCAGCCTGGCCTCTGCCCTGCTTGGGCAAGTGTTACAAAGCTCTTTGAGCTCTGCAGATAGGGGCACCTAGGTGCACCCCACTCTGTCAACAAGCCTCCTGCCCAAAGACAGTCACTTAGCCTTCTTGCTCCGTGAGCCGGCAAGCCACAGCTCTGTCTCATGCCTCTTGGTTCTACTGCTGCCATCTCTGCTGGCCTTCTCTGTCAAGGACCTCCAGCGCAGGGATCTCAGTCAGGTCCAAGGACATGCACTCCACCTCCAGCTCTTCTCTTGATGGCAGGAGGGCTCGCTCTTTGTTTTTAAATTGTGATTTGGGTGAAAGTTTACAGAGCAAATTTATTTTCCATATAGCAGTTCATACACATTTTGTTTCATGACATTGACTGCAATCCTCACAATGTAACAGCTTGCTTCCCACTTCCTCCCTGTAGTGACCTCTTCCCTATGTCTTCATTTCCTATGGATTCCTGCCCACCCCCCAAAAGCTGTCTCCCTGTGCAAACACTCCTTCTGTTCTTCCATGATTGATTGCTCTGAGGAGTGTATCTACTGATATAAAATGTTTACCTTACGTGCCTGTCTGTTGTTTGGCTGGAAGCCACAGGAATGAGTTCAGTTCCAGACCTAAAGGGTAACTAGGGACCATAGTCTTAGAGGTCTCACCAGGTTTTATCAGACCAGCAAACCTGCTTTTTTTTTTAAATTGTGATTTGGCTGAAAGTTTACAGAGCAAATTCATCTTTCATACAGCAGCTCACATATACTTTGTCTTATGATATTGACTAATTTCCCGCATGCAACAGCTCTCTCCTCCCACTTCCTCCCCATAGCCACCTCTTCCCTGCCCTTTCCCTCCCGTGCACTCCTGGAGCCGTCTCCCTGTGCATACACAGCCCTTCTATTCTCCCATGATTGTCTCTCTAAGGAATGTATCTACCTAATGTAAATGTTCTGCTCATATGCCTGTCTTTTGCAAACCTGGTCTTTTTATAAGATTTTGAGTTTTATTCCACATTGTTCTCCCATTCTATCCAGGATTTCCTACACAAATCCCCCTCTAAGTGCTTGACAGTGGTAGTCGGGCACCATCTAGTTCTGGTTTCATGGTCATACAGGCTGAGGACCACATGGTCTACTAGCCCTTTGGACTAATTGTTTCCATGTTTCTCTTTGCTCTGGATAAAGAGAGACCCATCATTGCATCTAGATGGCCACTTGCAAGCTTTTAAGACCCCAGTTGCTACTCACCAGAGTAGGATGTAGAACAATGTTTTTGTTTAGTATGTTATGCCAGTTGAGCTTGATGCCCCCTGTTACTGTGGTCCAGAGCCCACAGGCCCAGCAACTCGCCCCTTCAGGGTGGTTGGCTGTGGCTAAGAAGTTGTCATAACTTGCCCCCCCCATTAGTTCTATTTATATGGACGTTCTCACAGCACACACAAATATGTATGTAGAAATGTCATCTGCCAGACTTCTATATGATCATGAGTATATTCCCTTTTGCCTTGACATACCTGATCATTCAGCCTGTCTACCTATATATTTACCCATAGATTAATGTTTGTTATTGCTGACAATGCAGTATTGTATATGTAAAAGGGTTTATCTTCGTGGTCTGTATCTCGTGCACCTCTCTGTGTCTTCATTTTCCTTAGTGTTATTGTGCTGGTCACTCGCTTTTGGTATATTGCCTCTCCCTTCACCCAAATCAATACTTGTCTCTTACCTGTCTAGCAATTTTCCCTCCCCTGAGGGGACTCTGGTAGCATAGTGTCTAAGGCACTTGACTGCTAACCAGAAGGCTGGTGGTTCAAACCCACCAGCCACTCCTTGGAAGGAAGGTTGGGCAATCTACTTCTGTAGTGATACTGTCTCAGAAACCCAAGGAGGGGTCGCTATGAGTTGGGTCTGACTCGATGGTAAATAACAACAACAGAATGACCAAACTAACCAATCCCACATTAGCATTCCATACACCTTATTTGCATGGTTCCACCCCCACAAGGGTGCCATGTACCTTATTTACATCACTAGCAAACTATCCAATCCCCTGGGTGGGCCACAAAGCACCACATTGGCATAGTTCCACCCAGACATCTGCCTAGAGTCACAAAGACAATGCCTAAGAGCCACACCAGGGTCCTAACAGAAGAGGTGTCAAGGTTGGGACAGATATCCACACCTCCCTCAGTCATGCCAAGGTGCTTACCTGCAGGTCTCGGATCTTGGGGCCACTTTCTTGTCTCCACCGTGGTTTCCAGCTGAGGGTGGTCAGTTTTCCTGTTTTTGCAGACTTGGTCTTTCAGGGAGAAGGAGTAAGGGTGAGTCTGGCTTCTAAAATCTCCCACGTCATTAATTCCACACAACTTTTGAGCACTCAGGATGTGCTTGGAACTGTTGTAAGGCCCGGGTTACAGCAGGGAGCCAAATACAAAAATCCCTACCTCCTAAGGGATGTAGGAGATCCTGCATAGAGCGGGAGAACAATGTGGAACAAAACTCAAAATCATTTGGAGGCAAAAAAGAAAAAAAAAGGTGGGGACCAGGTTTGCTGGTCCAATGGAGCCTGGTGGAACCACTGAGACTATGGCCCCCAGCTGCCCTTCAGGTCTGGAATTGAACCCACACCTGTGGTTTCCAGCCAAACAAAGTACAGGCATGTGAGTTAAACATTTACCTCAGGTGGATACACGCCCTGGAGAGAACAATCATGGGAGAAGGAAATCAAAATAAAATTAAAAAAAAATCCCTACCTCCTCATTCTAGTGGGAGGATGGACAAGAAAAATGCGTGATATACATAGTATGGTAGGTGTGGTAACAGTCTTCAGAGGCAAAGTAAAGCAGGGAGGGGAGGTAGGGTATTTGAGTGTGGAAGGAGTTTGAGACGGGGCTAGAGGAGGCTGACTTCACATGGAGCTGACACTGTGTGTGGTCGCTAGGTGCCGTCAGGGCAGTTCTGGCTCACTGTGACACTGTACAACACAATGAAACACTGCCTGGTCCTGCACCGTCCCAGTGGACAGGAGGGTTGGGTAGAGCATGAAGGTGCCATGCTTGAGCCCCTTGGCATAGCCACTGGGTCAGTTCATCTCATTGAGGGTCTTTTTTTGCTGACTGTCTACCAAGCATCCAGTAATACAGTTTTCTAGTAATATATCAGATAGTGGTTCACTGCCATTCATAAGGTATTCACTGGTCAATTCTTTGAGAGGTGGATGGCCCCTTCTTTCTGAGTCTGTCTTAGTCTGAAAGCTCTGCTGAAACCTGCCCACTGTGGGTGACCCTGTGGGTATTTGAGATACTGGTGCTGTAGCCCCCAGACTCACAGCAACACACGAGCCACTTGTGTAGTACATTACTTAGTGTGGCTTTTCCACCCATGAGTCTTTGTAAACTCCAAGGTGGGATTTTCTAGGAGCAACTGAGAAGCTCCTGATTGCTGAAGTTGTCCACCTGGAGTATTTCTGTTGGGCGTGGCACAATACAATGTTCTGGGAGGTTCCCACTCTCTCTCACATGCTTAGGGTTCTGATGCTATGATTGGCTAGTTTGACCACCCTGCCGGGCTCAAAAGGAGACCTCCTAGAGGCAGAACTCTCTGACTGCTGGTTGAGGAAGACGTGCTGAAAGAGACATGCGCTATTGAAAGAGACACGTGCTGCTGGGAAAGAGACGCAAGAGACATGAGTTGCTGAGTAAGACACCGAGGGACATGCACTGCTGGGGGAGAGACTGTGAGAGACTTGGCTGAGAGACAGTGGGCTGGGAGAGAGACTGAGTGTTTTTCCTGAACTTGAATTGTAGCCTGGTGCTTCCCTAATAAACCCCATAATCTGTGAGTTCTGCATGGCCACTGCAGCGAATTATCAAACCCAGGAGAGAGGTTGGTGGGTGCTGCTAAAATGGCAAGGAGGCCACATGTTCTGACCTCCTCTAACCCTACAAGAGGAAGACAGGATTACCAGCAGTAACCCAAGGCCTATTCCTACAAGGCCAGACATGCTGCCTCCCTCCAGCCCTTTCACCAACCGTTCCTCCCAAAGCACCCACCACTTCTCTCCTGGGTTCGATAATTCGCTGCAGTGGACACACAGAACTCACAGATTATGGAGTTCATTAGGGAAGCACCAGGTCACAATTCGAGTTCAAGAAAAATACTCAGTCTCAGTCCCAGCCCACCGTCCCTCGGCCAACAGTCTCTCACAGTCTCTTTCCCAGCAGCACTGGTCCCTCGGTGTCTCACTCAGCAATGCGTGTCTCTTGCGTCTCTTTCCCAGCAGCACATGTCTCTTCCAGTAGCGTGTGTCTCTTTCTGCAGCATGTCTTCCTCAACC